TTTCGGTCTCTGATAGAGAAAATTGAGAATTACTAGCAGCATTGCGATTTTCGCTTCTGATCTAGAAAAAATGAATTTTCTGAGATAAAAAATAAAAAAAAACAATATGTGGGTTTGTTCCTCAATGAAAGTACGTTACTAGACTCAGTCTCACATGCTGAGCCTGAAAAGAGTGGTTTCGACAAAGTCATGAACTTTTCTTCAAAATCTAGCGGTTTTTCGGTAAAATGTATCCACTTCAGTATTTTGAGATTTCCTCTGTCAAACTCTTTTGAAGCCGTAAAAAATAGTTTTCCATACTCAGCTCGATGCGTTCTATCTAACCATATATAAATACACGAAAATAGAAATTATGCTAAAGTTTTAAATTAGCGGCACCCTACAATTTATTTCAACTTCATGGCAGAGCTTTCAAGTTTAACAATCTTGAGCTTGGTATATCAGTAACTTTTACTACTGACGCGCATGCTTGATCATTCGGATTTCTCTTTGGGAGCAATAGAAGAAATCGTCCATCTGTCTTTTCTGATACATCATGAACTGGAAGTTTCGAGTCGAAACTTTTCAAGGGAATTAAATTTTCTATGAACTTCATCCCTTAACGACGTCTGCAATACTTATTCTTGTTTTGAATAAATAGTCGTTACCCTCTACCAATACACATTTTCACTAGATAAATCTCACAAGAAAAAATGAGTTGCAAAAGTGGCTCATTTCTTATGCGCCATCCATTATGTAGAGTTTTACACAAAAATATTTCATATATCCGATTCCAGTTCATGATGTATCAGAAAAGACAGATGGACGACTTCTTCTATTGCCCCCAATGAGAAATCAGAATGATCGAGCATGCGCATCAGTAGTAAAAGTTACTGATATACCAAGCACAAGATTGTTAAACTTGAAAGCTCGGCAAGCTTGAGTATAAAGCTAAAGCTTCGACTTGGTACGTGCCTTGGTAGGTATCACTTCAATGACATCACAAATGTAAAGAGAATATTGTGTTTTTTTCTTCGATAATATATCTTAGGAATTAAATATATTTCTATTAGAGTTTTGTAGTCTCAACTTTCATTGCATAGAAGTCGGGATACAGCAATTTTGCTTTTCCGACTACAACAGTACAATACCAGAGCAAATCATTCATGTACTAGATGCAAAATCAAGGTTTTCTATAATGACAGCTGAAGACGAGAGAATTTGTCGTTCACGTCGGAAACGAAAACGATTTGTGAGCAATTCTCTTAGCAAACTTTATTCTTACCTAAGGGAACCCGTCAAAATTCGCATCGGTGAATTTATTCACCGGTGAATATATTCATCGGTAATTTGATTGGAGAGAAAATTGAGAACAGAATTATTCAATATGGCTGAAAAAAAGAATATGGAACTATCGTATAACAGAATGAACATGTGTTCTTTTCTGTACTATACTTGACTTGATGTTTTTCCTTCTTTCTATGCACACTATAGAGTGAGATATAAAGCAAGAAATGAAGAAAAGAACAAATTTTATATTTTCATAAAATATTCATCTTTTACAGATTCAAGGAAGAGAGTACTCACTCTAAACTTATTTCGTATTCTGGCAACTTCGTGAGTTCAAATTGCATTAATTAGACAAGTTGCATTCCCATTTGTTCTACTAGTTTAAAGTACACGAGTTGTACACGATACTAATGTTTTTTTTAGATAAGGATCCTCTTTAGTTTGTGAGGTATATCGCTGTAAATATCGCTAATTATCGTATAAAAAAGAAAGTTTTTTGCACTGATAGGACAAACGGGATTATTCTGCGAAATATATTTTATTCATCAAATATTCACCTTTTAGTGGTCTTCTAAATAGTTATATTTCTGCTGAACGATATTTCAAACAATATTCCCGCTTGTCGTATCAGTGCAAAAAACTTTCTTTTTTATACGATAATTAGCGATATTTACAGCGATATACCTCACAAACTAAAGAGGATCCTTATCTAAAAAAAACATTAGTATCGTGTACAACTCGTGTACTTTAAACTAGTAGAACAAATGGGAATGCAACTTGTCTAATTAATGCAATTTGAACTCACGAAGTTGCCAGAATACGAAATAAGTTTAGAGTGAGTACTCTCTTCCTTGAATCTGTAAAAGATGAACATTTTATGAAAACATAAAATTTGTTCTTTTCTTATTTTAGTCTTTGCAGAAAAATAGAATAATTTCTCTTATAGGAAAGTCTAAATAGTATCAGAGTAGCATAAACTGCAAAAGAAAAGTATGTGTTGTTGATCGATTCATAAAAGAATAACCTGTTGAAACAGAGCGGTTAGTTGTCTTTGAAGAAGTCACATGAGGGTGAAGGGACACCTCTCCAAAATATATCAATGTTCCGAATCTCAAAAGTTTCATTTATTCAAACTGGGAGTAAAAGTGATCACTTATAACAGACTTATAGATTTCCGAAAAATTTTGTCTGAATTTTGCATGATAACATAATCCAGTTATACTTATCTTATACCTCACTCATTTTCTTCGAAATTAACAAATTACACATAGTGTACATATTCTGTATATAAAAAATGACCAAAACCTGTCTTAATGATGCATGATTGTAGTCCCAAAATTTCTGATTAAAATAAGACCTCTCCCAGCTCTACATGACCTTTCTTTGCAAAGTTAAATAATAACGCCAAGAGAATAACGCCATTGGTGGAACTATAGGTACATGCAACATGTGTCCATGTATTTATCGGGATTATCGGCCCAATATAACCTGGAAAATAACTATTATAATAAACCTGGGTAACAATTTGTCCACTGTACGTTAGAGCAAGTATATCATAACCATAACCACCAAAACTACAACAACCGCCATTCGTGTAGTAATATGATATATGTACAATTGCACCACCATTAATCGATGTCGGATAAATCCATATTGCAAATGTATATGGTTTGCTAGCAAGCCAAGCAAGTTGATAAAAACAACACATTTGAAAATAAGATGATGTTGTGGTAAAGTCGATTCCCCGATTAACGCGTCCGGATGTTGATGATACCGATGCATAATTCGAAATAGCAGTATTATTCAACCGATTCGGACCATTGTCATAAAAGGGACTCGGTAAATCGAACGAATAATAAAATAATAACGTGGCGTCATTGGAAATTTCTGTTGCACTTTTAGCCCGTGTCGTGAGGGCTAAATTGTCAATATACCCATAGTAATAACTTGACGATGATTGTGCCCCAATTATTATTGACCCATTTTGACCTAGGTACGGTTGTACATTCGTGCGTACACTGTCTTGTACACCGTCCAGATAAATTATTTGCTGCAATGTTGCATAATTGTAAACAAAAGCAACATGATACCAAACACTTGTTGACAGCGTTGTTGATCCTTGTAAATCATTAAAATTAAAACCCATAAATAAGCGACTACTGCGGATAATTAAATATAAACATTGACTTGTGCATGTTGCGCATGTGCACTGGCTGAATATTGTATTATCACCGCTTAGTGTTGTTGGCATTATCCATGCTTCCACTGTAAAACTTCGATAGGACATATTGAAATATGATGAAACTGTAAACTGTTGATTTGAAACCTGGAGTGAGTAACCAAATTGTATATAATCATGCGACTGAAAATAATTTGTTTGTGGGTAACTTCCCGTATTAACACCATTATAAACGCCATATAAATCATTTCCGTTCTGATCAAATGCCCAATAGGCAGAAGCAAGTGTCCAAGGGGCAATTGTTGTGCTTTGTGTTGTTCCCGCTAAAATTTGAAATTATTGCTGGCATTATCCATTCTGTTTAGAAACTGAAATCTTGAAGGATATGAACTTAAGAGAGGGCCCATGAGCACATCACGAATGACTGTTAACCGTCGAAATAAATATTTGTTTGAAAGTGTGCCCATTCAATTCTGCGTACAACATTAGTTATGCGAAAATTTTTTAAGCGCTTAAGAGATAGTGCACGAGAGAGCATCGAGAAACACCAAAACATGGTCAAAACTTTTTATTCTTGAGAGCTATCTCATTCAATTTTTCATAGAAAGTGGGATTATGATACTATTTTCAGCCTCTAAAACACTTTGTACTCAGAGAAATTAAATTTTTAAAAGAAGCAGGTAGAAATATTTCAAAAAAATCGAGAATTTAGTATTTTACTTTTAACTCCAGCACATATGATTTCCAATCCTTGTGTTATATTTCATTTGAAAGAGCAAAAGAAACCGAAAAAGATGCAGTGCTTAATGGAGAACACAGTTTCCAGTTAAAAAAAGTGAAACTTTCATTTAAATCTTAAAGTGCAACTTCACATCTAGAACAACAAACAAAAACACATACGCAATTTGTAGAGCTAGCAGTTCTGCACAAGATGATCCTATTTTAGAGTTTTTCAATGAAGAATGGAACCATCTGAAAATGAGATATGAAGAAGTCCTCTACACGTTAAAGATGTTAGATCGTTTTTTTTGAATATCGATTTTGAATCGTGATCATAGTTTAAATCAAAGTTCGAAACGCAAGATTTTGTCGCCTCGAACGCGTTCAACCTCGCTTCGCTTCGATTCGTTCCCAATTTTTTTAAACTGCTTCGCCTCGCCTGGAAAAAAAATGCAAATACGAAGTATTTGAAGTCGTTTTTCGATTACCAATGTCTGAAAGCGTATGGAAACTTTAGTTAATTTATCCAACACAGCTGTATTATCTGATAAGTAAACAACAACTAATTTACATAACAAACAAGAAAAACGCGTGACAATTTTCATTCATAAAGTTCATTTGTTTCATTTTTTCCTCTAAAACAGATAGTTCTTAATTAGACGAAGTGGCACTTATCATATCGCTTCGCTTCGCCTCGATTTCATCTTGTCTCGCCTCGCTTCGTGTACGGCGAAGCGAGGCGAGGCCCCTTGACGAATCTTCGCTTCGTTTTGGGCTCTGGTTTAGATGCTGACGATCACTTGCTACGTATTAGATGACGTACCCTAGTGAATGTACTTGAGCATAGGTACCTGACTACGTACCCTGCTACAGTAATGTCATAGGTGCTTGTAAGTAAAATATTACTTAGCGGGTACCTAAACGGCCAGCCATTTTAGGTGACCATGTGAAGATAAAATGCACATCATTCTTGTAAACATATATTTTGTTTTATATATGTCTGAACGCGAAACAAAACGGTGAACGGAAAAAAATTTAGGTACCTATGCTGCGTCAAGTGCAAGTAATTGGTTACTGCTCAAGTAATATTTACTTGAAAAAAATTCAAGCACCTATGATATTTCTGCAATAGGGCGCCTGTATAGGTGCCTCCAATTTTTGCCCCTGAGTGTAGTCAACTGTAGTATAACCTAATATATGATTTTATGAAACAAATGTTCCTCTTTCGTTTTAGATATGAACCTGGGTATCGAGGTTTCTTGGCTTTTGAGAAAATTAAAAAATACTCATCATATAGAAAAAACATGATTTTTTTTCATGGTGTCAAAGTTTATCTAGGCGAAACTTTTGAACGAAACTTGGAAATTTTTTAATTCTTAGGTTTTTTGTTCTCTCTTTCAAATGCAATATAAAGCAGTCAGAACTAAAATACACCTTGGGACAAGTTTGACTAAACGATCGGTTTTCTTCTCTTAAGTACTCGAGACCGAATAGGGTCACAAAACTTTGACCCGAACTCGATCCGAAATCGATTTTTTCGTAAAAAGTTGCCCCGACTGCCCCGAAAATTTTTCAGCACAGTACCGAATACGACCCGAAAACGCTTTTTCGCATTAGTAGGTTTTTGTTCGACAGTTTTAATTCCAATATGCAGTGGTTTTCTTCGTCCTCCCTGACAAAAACAGCATGGGTTCCACCCTCACCCTACCGCTACATATGTTCCTTTTCTTTGTAGCCTAGTCAAGTATGTTTCTTTAAAATTCTCTTCGTCCTCTACTCACATTTGCAGCCTATATAATTAGTTATCTTTCTTCTCCTGTTCATTTGCTTGGTGATGACGTGTGAAACGTATCGAAAGCTCGAGCAAAAACATATTACATTTTGTAAAAATCTCATTATGTATTTCGTGGCAGTTTTATACTGATTATTCTCTTGAATATTTTATACAGCTCTACCTTCTGAAAATCAGATTTCTGGAAAATATTATTTCTCGTCTGTGTGTACTGGATGATAAGGAAAAGAATGATAACATCACGCAAAAAAATATCTATCTCGACCAGTACAATTCTCAACCAAAAGGTAGAGCATTAGCAGAAGGTAGAGGTTTCTGGAAAATAAGGCATTTCATGTGATGGACGTGGTGAGACAAAAATTTATGATTTTTACAAAATCAAATCAAACCAACTGAATCTTTCAGAATATGCTAAATTTGCATCGCACAAAAACATTACTAAAAATTTGAGAATTTTTTGTAGCAGGAGGCCGGTTCCAGGTGATTCTCCAGAAATCCACTTTATTAAAAAATCACACTTGAGGGATTTTTCACCGAACTACGCCTAAAAAGTGTAAATTTACTCATACTCTGAAAGTTTCAAGTGGTTTCGTTTGATATTGAGAGATTTATTATTGTAAAGTTTTATTGTACCACATACACAATCAAAATGGCTGCTTTTTCCTAAAACCAACTGCCAAGAATGTTCGTTCGCTTTGATCCTGGATCAAGCAATGCCACAAGACGCAGAACGATTGATAACCTATGTTTCCATTATTTTTGACATTTTGGAAAAACATCATTGATCGATACCAGGTATCCTGGGAAAATAGGCCCCCTTCATCAACCAAGAGGGATGAAAGATACGGACTGCTTTAATGTGTACAGGACACAATCAGAAACTGACCCACTGAAATATTTCTTTTGTATGCGGCCTGAGCGGTTTGTCCCTAATATATATGTAAAACAATAATGGTTTTTGTCAACAACGATGGTGAAAGTTGTGAAATTCCATCACGGCGGTTTCTAAGATGAATATTGGTGTTGTATTAAACCAAAATAGAGGAAACAGATAGTTTGAATGGAACATTATTATTATTTTTTGTTTACCTGAACGACCATAAATAACCGCAATTGAAACAACAACGGCAACTACGGCTACTGCTCCTCCTATGCCCGCTACGATGATGAGTAAACGTTTTTTTGTCATCAGACTTTTTGGTAATGAGCGTTTTGAGAAGTACCTAGAAAGAAAGCTATCAGATAGAAAAGCGAACTACGGCATTAGCAACCGCCACCTACTTTGTTTTGCTGGGTATTTGTCGAAGGTTTTCTTGCCTAATTGTTACTGTTGATGGAGATATTGTTCGTCCCTAAGATGAAATTTCAACAAAAAGCAACGGTATACCCATGTCAGAACGCCCTAAAGAACTTTCTTCATAAAGTTAAAAACAAAATCACTCATTGAGTCAACTAGGCTGTATTTTTAAACAAAAATATTTTTGTGTCTCTGTCGGGAATATATACTCAAAAGTAGCCTGAAAACAGATAAAATTGCCTAACAGAGGTGCACAGAGAACGGCAATCTCAGTATGAAGGGGAGACTTTTTTGAAAGTTCACGGGGAACGGAAAGGAGGACGGGCGATAAGTTAGCCCCACGGAGTTGCAAAAAAAAATCGTCCTCCGTGCAGCTCTTTTGGTAGATACAGTCACAGTAATGCAACTAAAAACGGAAACAAATTTCCACTAAATTCTTTTCCATTCAATCTTTTGCACTTTAATCTAATTTTTTTGATGCGAAAATTGTATCTTTCCGCAAATTTTCTTTACGGTCTAAAGGACTCCGCCGGATAAACCTTGATATCTGCCCTCTCCTCCCTCAAACTATCATTTACATACCATGGTTAGAGAGCTGTGCCTCTGGTGAATAAGAATCTGCCATCATTTTCTCCAAAAGCTTTTTGTCTTTCAGAAAAAACTGAGCTTTTCTTATAATCCTTTTATTGATTTCATAGTACAAATCGAGGGCAGAGCCCTTCATTATAAGTACAACTGACCCTTTCTCATCGAGACGCCTGAATAGTCACCGGTTCAGTAAAATGGATATAACTCGAAAACTAAAAAGTATTTTCACCGTTGGATTCAGTACACTTTTCTCTACAAAACGGTATTAAGTAGTGATCTTCATTGGGATATCTAGTATTAAAAAAATTTCGTTGGAGACCCTAAAATCAGGGGTGTGGAAAATAGTCGTTGAGACAGGCGCACCTCCAAAACTATGACAGAACCATTCGCCATTTCTTCTCAGAAATATCGTCTGATTGTGGAATTTTGATTGAAGGGATTTCAAACAAAAAATTCTCTGTCAAATAAAACTGCTTTCTCGCATTTATTTCCAAGATGAACGTTTTCCATGTAAAGTAATTTTACTGGCTCTCATATGATCCCAGACATTCATTCGACATAACATGATCAAACTACTATCGGAGGCAAAATAGAATGTACTCGGATGCTTTTTTGAATAACGCTTCGGTTTTCACCATTTTGTAGAAAACACTTTATGACATCGATCGTTAGAAAAATCAAGCTCAAAGCACTACTCGCAGGGTGTGTATCTGATCGTTCATCTTAAGACACGATTGCCATTCTAAACTCTGTCACACAAACGCATATGTTCCTCGGTATGTGTTTATAGCCCAAAGTATCCTTTACACACTCACGAAAATCTGAGCACTCCATTTCTTACGGTTCGCGAAAAGGCTCAGTTTTCCTGGGTGTTCTAGAATTTGAACTAGACGTGTTTAGAAAACCTCAAAAATGAATGGCAACATAGATCTATTGACCATTCAATTTTTTGAAAACCGTCTAAATTGATAGAGAACTGAATTCTGATCAACATGAGACCCTTCCAAGCATTTTCTGTCGTATGGAGCCTCCGCAAAGCCCAAAAACCGAGAAAATCGATTAGAAATTTCTTATTAGTCACTTTTGAATGCGTTTCTCTGGACTGGAAAGTTACATAGTACTCACAAGGGTCTCATTTTGATCAGAATTCAGTTCTCTGTCAATCCAGATGGTTTTCAAAAAATTTGGTTTTGACAGGTAGGTTTTTGAAAATTCTGAAAATGTTTGCATCGGATTTGCCGTTGTTTTCTATCTAGAAATCCAAAGTTTCATGGTTGTGGAGTAGAAACTGCGAACAAAAAAGAATTTCAGAATAATCTCTACATACTTTTAAAGTACGTTTCAAGCTGGTACGTTTCAAGCTAACGACATAAGAATGAAGGCTTCATCTGTTCTTGGAGAAAACTAGATAGGTTTGCAAGATGATCCCCTATCACTTTTGGCGCTCTCATTTCAAAATCCCGTCCAAAATCGCACTTTTGAGTTGGGACTCCAAAATTTAGCGGACTACAGTCAGTTTTGTACGCTAAATCCGAAAAACACCTTCCCGAGGTTCTATAATGCTCAAGGACGGAGATATTGAATTATTTTGGAAAACTAGCGATTTTTCGAAAAAAGAGCCCCTCTCAATGTTTTGCAAATTTTCTCGGGTAAAACATGCACTAGAGAGGCTAAAACGGTGATATTCATGATCCTCTGCTTCCGACCTATCCAACTATATGTGTTTAAACCAGGAATAAAATGATGTGGAAACTCCGAGGTAGCGGCTCCTTACGATAATTTCCGTTGTATGCCCGATGAAATAAAAACTGCATTCACTCTTAGTAAATTCAAATCGATTGAAACTCTCAGAACATGGTAGGATACGTACATTGTATGTAAAGATAACCAAAAACGCGTAAAAGAATCTATTTTTCTAACAAGGATTTTCCAGAAAACCACCCTAAAACTCAGCTTGTGAAAAACAAAGTTTTACAGTTCTTTTGTAGCGTTAGCTTCTGAATCGAGTAAAACTGAATATACTGCGCAACCAAAAACGGTTTTTGCTTGATTTCAAACGGATATCGGTTCAAGATAGTTACAAACTCCCCATTTTTGCAGAAAAATCTTTCCAGGAAAATTATGAAGTTTTCGGGTGAAGATGATTTATGCATTGGAAACACCGTCAAAAACTGCATCGGAATCAGTCTTCCTGCAACACACTTTTTTTCAAAACAAAACGTCAGGGAACGAAAAATATCCCGTTTGAGATACGCGTCGACACTGCCTAGAAAAGAGTTCGGAAAGGACACTACCGAATAAGTAGCTAAATCTGCCACCCTATGTTTTCATATTCTGAAGACATGGTCAGATAGAACTAACTCGGGCGAACACGAATATGATGTCAAAAATATTCTGGAGCACTTTGAGAAAAATTACAAGCCATTTATGAGTGAGACCATCAACCATCCAATCTCTTCAGTAAAACCATTTTTTCTCAATAACTAAAAGGTCAGGGTTAGTTTCAATAAAATCAGAAAACATTTCTACGTAAACTAAAACCATGTGGTGGTACAATATATAGTTTTTAATATAGAAAAATTCGTCCCTTTTATGAGTGCGTCCGTTGTGGGCGGATGACCGTTTACATTAAGTGACGATCTTCTCCAAAACGAGAAAAAACACATTTGCCTAAATTTGTCAGAATTATCTCCTGAATATGGACAGTTTCCTTTGCTGGTCACGAATCTGACATCAGATTTGAAAAAGTCTAAAAAATGAGTGAAATATGAGCGATTTTTGGTAATCGGCTAGCTATGTCTACATTGTTGAAAAAAATGTCGGTCGAAAAATGTGGTCTTGGAGCTGATTTTTTTTTCGAATGATCTCATCAATCGATAGTCCATATTCAGGAGATAATTCTGACAAATTTAGGTAAATGTGTTTTTTCGCGTTTTGGAGCAAATCGTCATTTAATGTAAACGGTCATCCGCCCACAACGGACGCACTCATAAAAGGGACGAATTTTTCTATATCAAAAACTATATATTGTACCACCACATGGTTTTAGTTTACGTAGAAATGTTTTCTGATTTTATTGAAACCAACCCTGACCTTTTAGTTATTGAGAAAAAATGGTTTTACTGAAGAGATTGGATGGTTGATGGTCTCACTCATAAATGGCTCGTAATTTTTTTCTAAGTGCTCCAGAATATTTCTGACATCATATTCGTGTTCGCCAGAGTCAGTTCTATCTGACCATGTCTTCAGAATATGAAAACATAGCGTGGCAGATTTAGCTACTTATCCGGTGGTGTCCTTTGCAATAATCTTGAGTCTATATAGGCTTTTACCAAAATATCAAAAGAAAGCTAAATAGTCGGATACTTTTTACTTACATTTGAGTTGCTTTTGTGGCTCATTGCTTTCGGGACAGGTGGCGTGCTATTTTGCCTTGTAAACGGCATGGTTTATATTTCTAAAATTAATTACGAGGAAAACTTACGATCTTATTTTCTCAATTTTTCTCAGTTAGATGTGGCATGAAAGACCATACATCGAAATTTCTAGGAATCCGGGGCCAACTTGGTAGGTACAACATGGGTAAAATGAAGCAATGTAAGTGGTTCAGGTCTGGCTCCTGCATTACAAGTTTACTTTAAGATTGTCTTTTGTATTTTCATTGTTCAATACTGTTTATCCAGTAAAAATGGAGCATTGTTAAAATCAAGTCTAATCTTTTACCTGACCGATCTATACGTGTTGGCACCATTCGTTATATATCCTTAGTTATGGTTAGAAAAAAAGCAGAAATAAAAATAAAAACGTTTCTTTTTTCTTTTTCACTAGTTACAAGGTGCAAATGGGATTAACATTAACTGAGTGAAAATATCTGAATTTTTTGACAATATGCGACGTTTTAAGGTTTAACTCGACCTTAGTCATAACATGATAAACGCATGGATCGATGGAATTGATGAATGGTAAAAAAATCCCGGTTGAGCCCCTGTTTGCCAAAGAGCATTCGCGCCAAGTTCAGTCTATTCCGCAAAATGCAGGAAATCACAAAAAGTTAATGCATGAAAAAACTTGTACGATCTGGCAAGTAGACACCTTTGTGAAAGCTCTGCTCCTGAGCCTAAATTAAAAACCGGGAAAAATCTGATCCGCACCGCCCGAACAGCAGATAAAATAAAATTGTGTTGTCGGTTCGGCCATGTAACTCTACTAGCACAGTGGCTTTTCGGCACGATTTTTTTGCGCTTTGTTTCTCTTACAGTTTTCGAAGGAAATACACTATGGTAGGTGAGTTACGTGCCCGAGCCGTAGTGTAAACGTCCCTACGTTAATAAAAGGAGTGAAAATGATGAAAATCGGGGCGAACGGTATTGTTCAGAAAAGAAACGACGGGCAGCCAATTCGTTTATCATGTTCTGACTAAGATCAAGTTAAACCTTAAAACGTCGCATACTGTCAAATTTTCGCTTGGTTAATGTTAATCGCATTTGCACCTTTTAACTAGACACGTTTTTGTTTTCATTTCTGCTTTTTTTCCAACCATAACCAAGGATATATAACGAATGGTACCAAGAACTAAATCCAGTAAAAATGAAGCATTGTTAAAATAGAGTCTAATCTTTCACCTGACGGATTTATAGGTTTTGGTGCCATTCGTTATATATTCTTAGCTATGGTTGGAAAAAAAGCAGAAATAAAAATAAAAACGTTTCTTTTTTCTTTTTCACTAGTTGCAAGTTGCAAATGGGATTAACATTAACTGAGTGAAAATATCTGAATTTTTTGTCAGTTTGCGATGTTCTATTACAATTCAAAACAATGTTTCGTTCGGTCGCGATAAATATTTATCGATTAACATCGCGATATTGATTCGTATCGCATTAAATTGTAGACGTATCTGAATAGAGGAAGTAGTTAGATAAATCGTAATGCCTTTTAATCGGAATGTATCGCGATATGCATGAATTTCGCGATATCCTGCTGTTTATCAGGATACAGAT